TGCTCGTCGGTTCCTTCCTCCGTTGAGATCTTCTCTTCTACTGGTACTCAATGAACCCCCCCTCTCTTCTTCCCTTATTATAGATCATGATGACGATGATGGAGATTCGATTCTTGTTGTTGTTGTTGTTGTTGTTATTGGTTGTACTGACTGAGGGTTTGGTGGCAGAGTGCTCCGATGGCAGCGTCATCTTTCGATTCGCTGATGCTGAGGATCCGAAGAGAGTAAAGGAGTTGAGAGAATCTAGGGACGGAGAATTTGGGGAGAGAATGGAAGGGGCAGGCGGAAGCGAGGTTTTGGATAGAGAATTTGGAGTTGAGAGTAGGGATTCAGATGTTGAGATGGGGGCTTCGGGATCTGATGCAGTAAGTGAGAAAGAGATGGGATTAGTGGGCTCTAAGATGTGTTTGGAGAGTGAGAATTTGGATGGGATTGAGGTTTTGGGTAGAAATGATGCCTTGACTGAGAAAGGAACTGGCCTGGAAGTGGAATCTGAGATTGGATCACTGGAGAGAGATCAAGGAACTGGATTGAAAGTGGAATCTGAGACTGGTTTGATGGAGAGAGATCAAGGATGTCTCTTGGAAGTGGAACCTGAGTCTGATTCTTTAGAGAGAGATCAAGAAACTGAGATGGATTCAATGAGGGTCTGTGAAGAGCATGAACAAGTGAAGACTTCACAAGTTTGTGTAGACGAGGAGGAAGAGGTAGAGGAGTCCATGGGTGGTGATCGCAAAGAGCATATTACCCGCGTAGAAACCGTTGATGGAAGTCCTGAAAATGGTGAAGCTTCAATTGAATTGGAATCGCGGGGATCTGCAGAGAGTGGACAGGAAATACAAGGCAAAGGTATGCCATGGGATGAAATCTCGGAAGAAGAGAAAAGTTCTGCTGTTGGTGTGGAGCAGAAAGGGCAATCTAGTGATGATCTTCTGCTTACTGAAGAAGTGTCTACACTTGTTGAAGGTGATAATTTTCGAGTTCCAGTTAGTGAGGTTTGCGTAGAACAATTGGATGATGTACTAGTGTCAACAGAAAGGCTTGAAGATGATAGCGAAGCATCAGAGGTCTCTCTTACGGTGGTAGCTGATCTAGATATGGATGCAGAATCTAGTTCTACCCCTATAGAAGAAAATGCAGAGGAAAAGGATACAGCTGGAACGTCTGATATGGTAATTTCAATTACTTCCTTCTGACATGTATAGATTACAGATGCGTGTATATTTCTTTCGATTGTTTGATTACATTTTTCTCCTTAGGGCCTGTTCGTTTGGCCAAAAAAACCTGGAAATCAAAAAATAGGAAACCTATTTCCTATTATAATGGTTTTGAAGTTGTTTGGTTGGCTTAAAAAAGAAGGAAATTATAGAATAGGAGATGAGATGAGATGAGTTGTCACCTTATTATTGGATGATGTGAGTGATTTTTTAAAAAAACTTGTTTTGAGGTTGTTTGGTTGGTTAAAAAAATAAGGAAATGAATTGGAGGTATATTATTGGATGGTGTTTTGAGGTTGTTTGTGTTTGGTTCGTTTTTAAAAATAAGAAAATAGATGAAATGAGATGAGTTGGAGGTATATTATTGGATGATGTGACACGTACTTAAGGAAATTGATTTCTTGTTTTTTTTTTGAGGAAATGGATGGAAAGGAATGTTTAATGAGATGAGATGAGTTGTCACAATATTATTGGATGATGTGTGTGATTTTTAAAAATGAGATAAAATGAGATGTGATGAGTTGGATGATGTGACACATTTCTTGTGTTTGGTTTATTTTTAAAGGTAAGAAAGGAGATGAAATGAGATGAGTTGGAGGATAAAAATAATATTTTATTAGATGTTGTGGTGAGTTTTAGGGATGGAAATGGATAAAAATATTATTTTATTGATTTCCTTGTACCGATTTCCTTTTCTTGGTTTTTAGGAAACCAACCAAACAGCCCCTTAGATGACTAGCGGATTCATCATTGCAACAGTGGATCATTGCAATAGTGGAATCAAACTGTTTGATGGTTGGGTCCATTAACAAGTTGAAAAATTTTAGTTGAATGTAAAGAACTTAAATTTTCTTTGTATTGAATACATGATGATCTGCATGGAGTGTGATCTGTAGGTTGCTCATTTTATGGAATATGATATCTGCTTAGCCGGGGTATGGAATATCATATCTGCTTAGCTTCTTCTGTTTATTTTTTGTATAGGTTGCTTATTTTAAGCCATTGTACGAAAGTAACCATTATCAAATTGTCCGAAAAGGAAAGCAATCCAAATGCTGTAGGTTCCCCATGGTCATTCTACTTTCCTCGGTCCTAGTTCTTTATAGGACAAATTTTCAAAACTAACCTGTTTTGAAACTTATTCTCAAAAAAAGACCGGTTTCAGATTTAATTTTAAAAACCGACCCAGTTTCAGCCAGGTTCAACTCGCGTGAAGTTTTGTTATGTGAAAAACTTCACGGGACTTCAACTCCCGTGAAGTTTGGGATTTTTTTTTCAAAAACCGACCCAGTTTCAGCCCTGAGGCTAAAACTGGGTCGGTTTTTAAAATTAAATCTGAAACGGGTATTTTTTGGGAATTTTTTGGCAAACAAGTCGGTTTTGAAAATTTGTCATTCTTTATAACAATACTTACACGTTTCAACCATTCTGTGGGGCCCATACCATTCTATCACCTTGATGGCAGATGGGCAAGGAAAATTCAGTATTCTTTGGACCCTTTTACATTTAATTTCTCAACAAGTGCCAATGATTGGACTGAAGGAATGCACGAAGGTGGGCTATTTCATCCACAAATCCACTCTGTTTTTTTAGCTCCACCATTTTAAATAAGCCTTATCTCACGACATATTCTTAAAATATTATCTATTTCTGGCTAGGAAAGATAACAGGAAAATCATGACTAGCGTCCTTATTCCTCCTCTTCATGGGCGTAATATCACTTCAACTTTGAAAGGAAGGTACCTGATAGCAGAGACCTGCTTGTTTCCTCCTCATAATCTGATGAACCAAGGAGCTCTAGCACATGAGCATCCTGTAGCTATAACAGTTTTCTCATTAGACTTGTGCAGATATTGGATTCTACCTACTGTAATGACCCAAATCACAATAAAAGCGACCCTAAAAACATCATCCAATACAAAATAAGCCATATAACAAGAATCCTGATGCCACGTTTCTTTTAATGATCTCAAGGACGGGATCACATCTGAGATTTGCATTAGACTCAAAGGAGTTAAAGTCACCTACCTGTCATCAACAGAATTTGATAAAAATCATTATGGAGAGAAACTTCTAAAATGTGTAGCATTTCAATGTGCATCATCTTTTCCTTGCCAAAACTTCTAAAATGTGTAGCATTTGAATCCCAAAATTTCTTCCTTGAAATTTATTCAGGCTAGTGCCTGATAAACACCATAGTAAATTTTGATAAGTGGGATCAGATTCTTGATCAATATTTAAGTCATGGTGTTTGTTATAAGTTTATAGTTAGCAACTTTGCAATATCATTTCAGCTGTAGGCAGGATGTCATCATTTTCATTTAGTATGCTAAGTGTCTATCTGTATCCACATCATATACCTATATTGTTAATCGATAGGGGACATAGATTCTTGCGACATTGCCAATAGGCAAGCTTTTGATGGAAGAAAAATTTGTGTATATTCCAGCTTAGTAATTTGGTAGAATACAGTGTAATTCATTATGTAATTTTTTAATGTAATTTTTTGCTGTTGACCTGATGCTTTTGTATATTTGATGGAGTACCAGGTTTCTGTGGTTGAACATGCTGATCAGAAAAATGGAGATGCAAACAGTGAAGAACCTGCCAGGTGTATTTCTCTTTGAATTCTTAAATAGAACTGTTCATGTACTTGATGATAATACAAATTTGCTGCCCTTTTTCAGTGGCCGCAATTGTTATTTGCTAGGGCTTCCCTGGCACTTCTATGGGCATAGGAGGATAATTTTTTCTGACTAATTTGTTATCTTTTTAAGATTAATTTGTTACTAGATTTTCATCTATATGAAATTTTTGAGTTATTAGTTAGTGGCAGAACCTTAGGCTAAGAAGCATCTCATGTATGTGCGTAAGCCCAAATGTTTTATCATATTCTAGGCCTCCTTACGTTATAGTGTGAATGCAGTCATCTTTGTTGTTTACTAACATTATTGGGTGTATGATAAAATTTATGAGATTTTTCTCATTATCTTTTGATTCTCAAATCACATTGTTTCTGATTCTGGGTGAGAACCATGTCAGTACGAACATTGTGATGAAAAGTTTATAGTGTAAATGTAATAATCTTTTATTGTACCTATAGTATTAGATGTATGATAAAGTTTGAAACTTTTTCTCATTAACTTATGATTGTCAAATCATGGTTTTTGTGATTCAGGGTGAGAACCATTGCAGTTCCAACACTTTTCCTTTGTTCTGGTGCAGCAATACTGCCTCATCCTTCAAAGGTATTAATATCCACATTAATGTTTGAATTGCAATCAATCTCTCTCTCTCTCTCTCTCTCTCTCTCTCTCTTCTTTTTGGAATAATGTTTATCTGAATATATCACTATTGGACAAGAATATTAATTTTTTCACATGGAAATTACATTCATGACTACCTTTCACACTGTTATAATCCTTCAAAGGATTAACAGTTTCTAACCATGCTAGAATGAGAAACCAAAGAAACTGCAGTATATTGGTTATGTGATATAGTGAATAACTGTTACTGCTGATACATAAACTTTAACGTGTAACATGATCAATTTCTTCTGAGCTTTTCCTTTGATAGTAGCTGAATTAAATTAGGAGAACATGCTATCTTTAATAATCTTTATGGTCCTTTAAAGAAACAGGTATATGAGCATGTTAGTATTATTCAAGTAACTCCAGCATATTGGTTATGTAAAATGGTAACTGTGATTTCAGAAGTCATTTAACACCATATAATAATTTGTGAGCGTTCTCATTGTCTAAAATCAGCAAATAAAGTAATACGTTGAAGACGATTTGCAAAGTTATGTTGGCATGATTTGAAAACGTGTTGAAGTGAGTTAGGAGTTGGCATAAAGCGAATAATCTAATATATAAGAGCGACAAAAAGACTAGACTCTAGCATGCAGGAATGAGAGATCAACAGCATCTGGGAAAGGATGTGCAGGCTAAAGACAGAGAGAAGTGACCCACAGTTTGGAAACATTCCTACATTCCACATTTCTGCCTGGGCCAGGTGGCATCCAGGTTATACAGCAAGTAAAATTTAAAAGCGGATGCTCATCATAAGTTCCGCTGCACAAAGAATGCCTATTGATGATCTTCAACCACACTGTTCAGAACAACGAAGAAATTACAACAACTTAGGGGCTTCTCACTTGCTTCATGTTTCTCGTCTCCTTTAACTGTTGATAAGCTCTGGGGCTTATTTCTGTCTTTCATCAAGACTTGTTTGCCCTTCTCCTACTTCGTACTTCTCCGTCTAGTCAAGCAGTCATTGAAATTGAGATATATCTATCATACTTTTATTATTCAATTTTTATTGAAGTCCTGCCATCAATTATGAGTCAACTCCGCCAGTGGACATTACATATTAAATTGTTTATTTGTCTCAAATCATTTCTTGTTTGTCCAATATACCCATGGTCAGTAATGTAGAGTAATAATTTCAGGCATCGACAGGTGGAGAAGATGCTTACTTTGTGGCATGCAAGAACTGGTTTGGTGTGGCAGATGGCGTTGGTCAATGGTCTCTTGAAGGTAACTTTCCTTATGAAATTCAGTTAACAAATTAATTTGTTCTGAAATTTATGTATTATGGACATAACCTTTTTCTTGTTCATGCATATGAATCACCAAAAAGGTTTGGTACCATGAAGTATCTGTTTGTTATATGTGCAAACTCAAGATAATTGTCCTGTAATCTGCATTGTAATTGTAGGACAGCCTCTCTTTACAGGTGACTTCGAAATAAGAATTTCTATATAATTTACATAACGTCTAGTATGTTCATATGGAAAGTAGCTAAATATGATAGTGCCAGTTGGTGCTTGCAAAGTAAAAAACATTATTGTTGGAGAATATGGCTTCTGAGCAATTGATCAAGTAAAATTTGCGGAAAGAAGCATACCTTGTTGATAAGTACAAAATTGATGTACTATTATGTGGTACAATTGCTGACAGTATGTCGTAACAGGATATGCTTCTCTTTCTAAGTACAAAAATGATACAATTGTGGACGGTAGGTCACAACATGATATGCTTATCTTGTTGCTAAGTACAAAAATGTATACTACTCTGAGGTACAATAATAAATAATAGTTTAGCCTGTCAAGTGACACCTATGGAGAAGCCATTAAGCTCGGATATGCCAAGAGACTTATGATGTATATGTCGCACAAGAAATTTGTTTGATATCTTTGTTGTGTTGTATGTATTGTTCTAGTGATTGTTGTTTGTTTGGTAGAACAGGAGCGTATTTTGCTTTTATCAGAATGTTTTTCTGTGTTTAGATCATAGGAAGAGCATCCTGTATAGCTTTGGGGGATAGACATAGACCTAGGAAGCACAAACACATTTAAGTGAGCCATTGTCCATGTCTAACACATCTAGGATGACAGAACTTGGACGACAAGTATTAGACATACTGGACCCATCTTGACGAAAAATCATGTTTTAGAGTCAAGTCAGTGTTAAAATAATTAAAAAAATGAATTTTCGGCATGGTAGAACTTTCATAAACTAAACTACCTAATAAAGATTCTCTTACATTATTTAAAATATGTCTCTCTGATCTCTTTATCATTTATATTTGTCCTCCTTTTTCATCATTTTCTTCTCCATTCAGGTCTTTTCTCTTTAAATCCGAAATACCTCCATTAAAAGTGAAATCTTTATGTTTAAAAAGCCAAACAGGCAAACACTGTCCAACCTTAAAAGTCCATGGTTTCTTTTGTTGAACTTCTGCCTGCATGATACAGTAGGACAGAGTAAGCTGTCAATATATGAATATTCTGAGACTTGCTCTTCTAATCTTTTCAAATAAGAGTCATAAGACAATAATATAAAATGAGATCTAAAAAAATATATTATAAATTTAAGTACTATACCATTAATATGTTCTAGGCACTGCCCTAGGAGCCAGTTTCCCAGTGTAGAATTATGCTAATCCTTGTGCAACACCCTGACAGTCCGGAGTCCTCTCTGTAGCAAGCTCGAGAAAAATATGAGAACTGCTTTCTTTAAAAACACAAAACTGAAAAAATTTGCCCTCTATATCATACTTTTCCATGGATCTCATATAAAGGTCCGTCCTATTAGTAGCTCCCCTCAGCTTTAACGATGATTTTGTCAGTGTCTCAATTCCAAGGTTATAAAGCAATACCAAATTACCAATGACAAATAAATCTCTATTAAGTGTAGGTTTACTTTGTCTTGATACATGGACGAATCATGCATCATTTATGTGTTTTGTCCTGTCTCTAGTTTTATGATTTCACTTCATGCTGATATCCATAGGTTCTTACAATATCACGTGAACATTTGTGGTATCTGTAGGAATAAATGCAGGGTTATATGCTAGAGAATTGATGGACAACTGTGCGAAGATTGTATCAGAATGTGCAGGACTTCCAGAAACAAGACCAGACCAAGTTCTTGTTAAGAGTGCTGCTGAAGCACGTTCTCCTGGTTCATCTACTGTTTTGGTTGCTTATTTCGACGGCCAGGTTCGTTCTTATGAAAGTTAATAATTACATAAGTCACGCATAAAGTTGTTAACACCTTGATAGAGTGCCAAGCATTTTCCTTGTTTCTTATCTGAAGTGGCTATACATGAATAAAATTAACTGGTTTCTCTGCAGTGGTAAAGAATTAATACTAAGTGACCAATTCATTTATATAATTCACATCAGATTCCAATAATCTTCTCTATGTTCTTATGCAGTCAGACTGATTGTATCCCTAAAAGCAATTTTTTTTCCATGTCCCACATCTGTATACCTATTGCTGCTGGTTTTTCAATTATATTCTCTTATGTTCTTAAGACAGGAATGATGCAAGCTCTCGGTCCTTAGGAATTCCTTGATTAAACTAATGCCTTTCATTTGAGGTCGGGAAGGCAATGGCATCCTATATCTCATTAGTCTTGAACCTGTTTTGTGTGAACTTGTGATATTTATGTTACAAGGTACTTTGAAAAGGAGATGTTCCCATGTCAGATATAGATACATCTGGTTAGGGGTGGAAAGGAATGGTGCTCGCATTTATATTTGTTTAAAAATTTTAATTCAAATATGAATTCGAATATTAGTCTCTGATTTTTTTTAATTTGAATATGAATACAAATACCTTTCGACTATTTCTCAAATACTATGGTAAATTTATTTGATATATAATTTACAGTTAACAAATGGTAAACTATGTAATTTATAAGAACCATATTTTGTTGAAGAAATTTGATTTAGTTAAAATTAGTTATAGAACTTAAATTACAATTGGTATAGAATTTAAATTACAAAATATAGATGGATAAAAAACATAACATCATGCCTGTAGTAATAAAGATTATAGGGAATGAACACTTAAATAAATATTTGATAATAAAACTAATTGAGTACATCTTGTTAAATTCTCTTCGTTTGTGAACCAAAAACTGAAAACTATTTGTTTACTATAAATGAACTACTGAATCGAGTATAATGACCGAATAGTTAGACGAACAATTAACGAACAATTTGTTAAATATTTGGTTCGTTTTCCACCGCTAACACGTTAATCTGATACTATAGATACATGTCCATCTCTCCATTCCCTACATCTGATACTCTGATACTATCAGTACATGCCTATTTCTCCTTTTCAATGCATCCTAAAAATTTGCATGTATTCTGGATATGTGAAAGCCATAACAAATGGGTATCCAAGACCAAGTTAAAAATATCGTGTTTGAATGATGACTTCACATATCTACCTGATTTGCAAATGAATTTGCTTTTGTATAATTTCTTGTTCTTAATATGGAATATGATGGTATAGTAAGTATGAGTCTAGGTAAGATAAAATAGAATGACATTCGAGATATCATGCTTTTCTAAGTGTTGCAGATGTTGCAGATAAGGGTTATCACGCGCGCGCGCGCATGTACCCACCCACACACACCAACACCCACACCCACATGTTTGATTTATTACTTTTGTATCTGCAAGATTTATTACTTTTGTATCTGCAAGATTTATTTCTTTTGTATATGCAAAAGCATATGAATCCTTTTATATTTTTAGAATTTGTTGTATTCAAACACTCCTGCTGCATCATGTCCATATCTCCTTACCATAGATGTCTTGGCGCATCACGGACAAAAGATAAGGCAATCTCATAAAGCAACAAATGATGCACGACCTAAACCATTCTATGTTTGCATTGATCATAGCAGGTTGTCTTCTCTCGAAGTGCAGATAGCCAAAATTGATGTCAGCTTAGATTGAATCTTAACACAGTTACATCAGCTCGTTTCTTTCGGGGTCCATGTCTGAATAGAAAGCAACTACCCTATGGTCATCTGAATATTAGTTGAGCATTTTCTTTTGCATTGTTCAACAGGTACTTCATGTAGCTAACATTGGAGATTCAGGATTCCTTTTGATACGGAATGGAACAGTACATAAAAGATCCACCCCTATGGTCTACGGATTTAACTTCCCCTTACAGATAGAAAGAGGAGATGATCCCTCAAGGCTGATTCAGGTACCTCTTTAAGCGTATTGGTTCTATCACTAGAATTACTCATTAGATTCCTAGAGATTTGAGAACCATACTAACGTTACACTTGATTCCAGTCATACACAATTGATCTAGATGAAGGCGATGTAATAGTAACAGCAACCGATGGTCTCTTTGACAATTTATATGAGCAAGAAGTGGAAGCTATCGTTAACGAATCTCTACAAACAAATCTCAAATCTGTGGTATGAACTTGAGCAGTGTTCCTTGTGTTTGTTTTAATTTAATGATTGTACTCAGGTGGTTTTTTATTTTGTTCAACTTCACAGGAGATTGCAGAGATTTTGGCATTGAAGGCACAGGAAGTAGGGAGATCAGCATCAGTAAGAAGTCCCTTTTCTGATGCTGCCCATATTGCTGGGTACCCAACTTTTGTTGGAGGCAAGCTTGATGATGTAACAGTTGTTGTTTCAATAGTACAGAGATCCAGGACATGATTTTCCACGTCAAGTTAAGAAAACTGTGGCCTAGAACCATATAATGGAATCAAATCAGGAAGAGATACATAACATAGAGGGGACATTACCAAAGTTACTAAATGTTCAGTCTCATGACAGTAGTTTTCACATCGACATCCCTCAAACTCTTAACTCATCACATCGACATTCCTCAAACTATTAAAAGTTATGACAAGATAAAGCTGCTGCTGTAACAAGGAGAGTAGCAAGTGATGGTGCAAGGAGAGAGCCAGCAGCTGAATGAATTGGCGAGGGTGCTGGAACTCTGGCAACACTTCCTCCGACAGATGGGGAGCCTAATGGTGTTGCTGCTGGAGAAAACACTGCAGGTATGGGATTAATTGCATGTCAACTTGAGAAATCATAAAGGGAAAAAAAATTCATTTATGTGCTTAAATTGTTTATGTGAATGTGCTCTTGTCTCAACTTGATTCTGTTCATTTATTAATAAAAGCTGCATATGTTGTAGATTAATCTTGTTTTGGTCTATACATTGAACTTAATTGTTAATTCATAGTTCATGATGTACACACTGGAAAGCATATTTAATACAACAAAGTGAAACAGCATTCTGCGGAGGTTGACCTAACTAAATATATGCTATGCCTTTGCTCATCTTCGAAAGGAAATTGCTGTTGTTGGTTTAATATATGTAAGAAGATCAATGTTCACATACACGTGTTATTCCAAAGCGAGTTAAGGAGTTGGGAGATTCGTTTGATGACTGTGAGGTGTTGTTTGTAAGTGGGTTTTTTGGCCTCATGGGCCAAACTGTTACCCGATCCGTTAAGATGTGATCTGGTTGTTGACTGCTTATATACTAGAGAATATATACTAGAGAAGTGATACTCGAAGAGTCCAAAATTTGCATTTTAATACCTTAAACATGATAAGTTTCCTCGGAATTTCTCGGGTGGTATTCATAAGCTAAATTAAGAACATGTTAATCTTTAATCTTTGTTGGATATACTGTTTAACATATAATTCTATTTTAAAATAGAAACCATGGTGGTTCTAACAATAAATTCAACAAGCATGCTAAAAAAGTTATAAATTAGCTTGTGAGTATCACATGGAAAAATTTAGGGAATGATTCTCAACGTTCGCGTAACACAAGTATTAAAGCGCAAATGATAGAAAGTAAGAAGTCATTAACAAACAACAAACAGCCACTGGTAGCTAAACCTGTGCCTACAAAAGCGAGAAAAAGTAGGGCATGTTTGTTTGGAGTTCATCGGGGTTTAAGATGAAATAGGGTGAATGGTTTCCCTTAACTTCCCTCCTCCTCTATTCTACTCAATCCAAACACACCCAAAAAAAGCGAGGAATATTTCGAAGATGAAAACATACCAGGAGCGGCCACAGGTGCACCTATTGCCACTGAGAAAAAAAAAAAAAAAAAAAAAAAAAGACAAGTTTAATTTCAATGGGAGCAGCAAAGAACAACAAGGACAGGAGAAAATCTCACTGGCTCATCTTGCTGTAAAGGAGGGTTCTGACCCCGCAAGCAGAAGGCAGCGCGAGTGCCTTTGGCGTATTAAGGCTTAATCCCGTAGTTAGGCGGCCGCAACCCAGCCCTTTGAAAGCCTGGCAGAGGCAGGAACCTCCTTCACCAAACCTCTTGAGGCCCCGCGCCAGCACGGCCCCTGTGGCTCCCCTGTTGCTCTCACGCTTCCTCGACGAACCCCAAGCAATCAGCCAAGCTCCACGGAGAGCAAGGAGCAGTCTGCAGACCGTGGGTGCTGGCTGCTCGGCTGCTGCTGCCTGCCCTTCGGCTCTACGCAACAGTGGGATGACCGACAGACCACAAGCAATTGAGAGGAGGGCCAAGGCCCAACAAGCCCTCTTGCCTGCGAAAGCGGCCATCGTCGTCGTCGTCGTCGCTGTTGTTGTTGTTTGGTTTTTGAGAGGGGAGGTGGGAGGAGGTATTAATAATACAAGGGAGCGTTTAATTACGGAGTGTAGCTGTAGTTGTGGAAGAGGGGAAGGAAAGGGTTTTCCTTCCTGGGGTTTGGTGAGGTGGGAGCTGATGATGATCGACGGGTGTAGGTAGGGGTGTGGGTGGAATGATGGGTTGGGGGTGGTAAAGTTCACTTGGCCAACTTTCAAGAAGCCTTTTTATTTTTGTTTTTCCCCCTTATATTATCTTCACTTGTTTATTTGCTGCGTAATTAGTGGGTGTTGTGAGAAGAAAGGAAAATGGAATGGACGCCTGTTTTGAGGTTGGAAGTTTATGATGAAAATTGATGCATGGAGGGGTGTGAAGTTTCTTGTCCCAAAGCATACGGACCCAGCTTGTCTAGTCCTAATGTGTAGTGGGGGTGAGCGCGGTGGGGATATTTTACCCAATGCATCGTGTTGGTGGAAAATACTACAGATATAGTCTTATGCCCTGTTTGGATGGAGGGTAGAGAGGGAGAGGGGAAGAGAAATGAGGTTTTCATCTTGTTTGGGAGTTTTTTTAAGGAGGGTAGAGAGGAGGAAGGAAGGGGAAAGGAGGTTAAAATTGTTTGGTTTTCTTTCCCCCCAATTTGGACAGTAGAGGAGGGTAAAGGAGGGTAAAGGGGTGTAATGACATTCTTACCCCCATCAAAACAAATAAAAGGCCTGATGTGTTATTAGTATAAAGTCATTTATGTAAATTTACATATATTTACTTCCTTTCACCTTCATTCACCTTACTCAACTCCCAAACAACATATTACAATTCTCTTCACTTCCCTTCCCTTCCCATTGTTTACCTTTCCTTCCCTTCCCTTAGTAAACTCCCAAACACACCATTAATCCTGATGAAGGGGGCGTGTGCTGTTGGACATTTCCCTCAATTGCATCATGTTGGGGAAAATTACTACACTACACACAATGGTGGGTAGCATTCCCTTCGGAGCGATCCGCATGCGAGGGAGTAGTTCCTGACTCCGGTAGGGGGCAAATTTGTCATTTTCTCCGATCCATTGAAGATTGAGAACCATCTGATGCTCATAATCCTACGTAGGTGACTTTTAAGGGCTTACATAGTCCATCAGGGTTAGCAGTGAATATATCCTCCCTACTATCGACATACAGCTGGTAGACGCCTAGTAGTTCTATTATTATAGATAGACTCAGAAGTGCATGTCTGGAATCGACAAGGGAGGAGAATAGATTTTTGTAACTTGTTTAAAACTGATACGACTGTCTGATGTACCGACACGTTACAGTTTGAGCGCACTGACTTGAAATCGCTAGCGAGACGTATGTCGCGCTCTTCTTTCTCCCTGTGCGGTATTCTACAAACAACGTTCCGTAGGAATATTTTCCTTATGTTGGTGGAGTGTTATGTTTAATATGTATATATGTACCTATATATTTGTCCTGCACACTGTTTGATGCATGTCCTGGTTCTGTTTGTTTAAGTCACCAACAATTGTTTTCTCTTGGGGCTTAAATAAATCGCTTCTTTAACACTTGCGAAGCTGAATTAACTAACGCTAAGAGCATCTCCAACGGCTTCCACATCTTCTTAAAATACTCAATTTTGAGAAATATAGAGCTATTTTTAGGTTTAAGAGTTTTTCCATCTCATTCCCTAAAATGGGGATGGAGAAGAAAAAAAGATGGTCTTTCTCCCAAATCTGTAGCATTTTGTAAAAAATCTTCCTTCTCCAGATTCTTGAAAGTAACATTATCATAAATATCTCACATTCTCCAAAAAAAAAATATATCTAATACTTTATTGAGTTTTATATTGTTATAATAAAATATCAAACATTTATTTTCTTAATAATTATTGAGTATGTAGTATGTTTTATAGTTGTAAAAAATGTCTAAATACCTAAAATGGAGAAACTGTTGGAGTTGAAGTAAAAATATTTTAGAGAATTTGATATTTTGTTTCCTCATTTTAAAAAAATTATGGTGAAACTGTAAGAGATGTTCTAAATGTGCCTAGTGGTAACTGATCATATAAATTTGAGGAGGAGGAAAGGCGTCCGTTATGCTTACTGGAGGTGAGCTGACTACAGAATAATAATAACGATGATAGAGGAGCACCCTAGCGCAGTGGTGGTGGCCGTAGGATCTGAGCTTTCTTCTGAGTTGGTTGTTGGGATGCGGGCGTGGGCGAGTCATAATTAAGGACGAGACGTTTTCTTTTTGAAAGCAGAGAAAAGCGGTTTGACTATATTTGACCGTCGTCCACAAATGCTGCCATAATTTGTTGTCAGTTTGTCTCCTTAATTAGGATACCTTGTTTTAAGCCTCGTGAGCGTTCTGACGTTTCCTCTGTCGCACTCTTACATCATGGTCTGCTTGCTTGTTGCTTGAACTCGCAGTTCATTAATATACGTTTTGTCACTGTCCTACTCATGTATGAGACATTGCTGAGGTATACAACGGTCAATAAGCATCACTAGGTAGTTAAGATTGTAGGCTAATTACATAGTAAATAGGCATCACTAGATAGTCTCTCAATAAATATTTTCATTGGAGTGATGTGCATGACTTTTCTATGTTGAGAATGGAAATATATGGCCTTAAAATTGCATAAATAAAGCTGGTCCCTCATTTGTGTATTGATGTCTTACATGTAGGTCTGCCCAAACGGGTCAGCCTTGCCCGGCAAATAGGACCCGGGCCCCTGCCCAGGGCGAGCGGGACAACCCGGTTATTTTCTCTTTTTTTTTTTTGCTTAAAATATTTTTTTAAAAATTCAAGAGTAAATAACAATAAATTAAACGAAATTTTGATAAAAAAAAACTTAATCATATTATTAATCACTTGTAATTATATAATTTACAAATGCAAAAAATCATAGAAATTAAAATGATAAGAATAAATTCTTTATTAATAATCAGTTAATCACTAACAATTATAAATTTATTTTAAAATTTGTTGCATCACAAGAGATGAATACATCTCAACTAGGTTGACATCTACTCATCTATACCACTATTATTTACAACTCTTAGCAATTATCATAAATTTCCAGCTAAGAAATAAAAATTACAAACTAATGAATAATTTCTACTATTTATCTCTATCTCCTATTGTCAACTTTTCAAATTTATCTTCAATACTAGCTATCCAATCGATGCTTTGAGTTCAATTCTCGTACCTCCACCAATCTTGTAGGCATATTACCGCCTGTACGGTAGACGGATCTAACGATGTCATGTGGTCGTCGATCAAACGTCCTGATATGCTGAAGGCTGATTCCGAAGCTACTATGGAAACCTGAAATGTTAGTAAGTCACGAGGCATGATGGATTGTATATGATAAAATGGATTGTATATGATATGAAACTGTTCCATATACTCTCCACCATTACAAAATATCGAAACTATTATTTTGACTTTAACTAAAGATGCAGTTAAATATTATTCAAATTCAAAAACTTTCATTGATGATCTAGATCCAGATCCGGATCCACCGGTTAGCTGAGCTATCAATAATTTCCTATCAAAACTCTTACATTTGCCCCGACTTTAACTCG